CTACTACGGTAGATACATTGATGATATAGTTATATGGGATGGTCCACCCCATACCGTGGATGATTTTGCACAACACTGTAACGACAATCAGCTAGAACTCTCTTTTACTTATGTCCAAGACTCTAACACCTTAGTTTTTGTAGATTTAGAACTGCCATGATGGAAGTAAAATCTTCAACAAAAATTATGTCAAACTTAGAGCAGGAAACTCGTATATACACTATCGTAGTTGCCACCATCCCAGGTGGGTAAACAATATTCCCAAAAGTCAGTACTGCCGGCTTTGAAACAATTGCACCAAGGAGGAAGACTAACACAGGGGGTAGCTCTTGCCAAAAAATGTATGGAAAAGGGATATCCTGCACCCCTTGTACAAGAAGCTTTTCAATTCTACCACAATAAACCAACCCGCAAACCTAAAGACCTGGTTTCTAACAACACTACATAACCAATTTGCTTCACCACCCAGTTTCACATCCAGTATAGAAAGATGGAAAATATCCTGCACAAACATTGGTCCATACTGTTAGAGGACCATTTTTTACAAACATCTCTCACTGTAAACCTAAAAGTTTCATACCGTAAGGTCAGAAACATTAAAGGTAAGATTCCCCCTAGTAAGATCAGAAACATCACAGATACTGAACAACAACCTACCACACTGATCCCTCTAAGGGGCATGTATCAATGCAAAAAAAGATTATGCCTTACATGCCAGTTCATCCAGCATGGCCAAAAAACCTTTACCACTAAAGGAAAGATCTACCCCATAAAGGAATTCTACAACTGTTCAACAAACTATGTCGTCTGTTGCTTGACATGTCCATGTGGATTGTTCTATGTCTAAAGAACTACCAGAGCCCTGAGGAAACACTTCGGTGAGCACAGGCGGCTCATAGAAGATGGGTCAGATAAACATTGTGTCCCAAGGCATTTCTTGGAATACCACCAAAAATCAACCACAGGGTTGAGAGTATGGGTCATAGAGGGCACCCCCAAATCACTACCTACAGCAGAGCGTTTTAAGCGTCTCTGCCAACACAAAATGTACTGGATATACATGCTCAATATCCTTACCCCCAGGGGGTTAAATGAGGAAATAGAGGTACATACCATATTATAACCTACGTACTATCTATGTTGTAATAGTCCTCATGTGATTGGGAACCACCATTTAAATCTATTTTTTTATTTGCAGTGGACCCTTATGCTCTATCTTGAACCAATTTGCTCAGACATCCATAGTAAGTACCATATAGCGTATGTGTATATTTTTTAATGTGTGTATGTATATGTATATGCTTTGAGTGTGCATATGCGTGTATATATAGATACATAGCTTTAGAGGACTTAATAATTATTAGAGACACAGAGTTTCATATAACATCTTTATCGGGAATACCTACAACGTCAATATGTATTCTTCCAATATGTACTTTTTATATTTTTATTGTTCGTATTGCTTCATTAACTCATGTATGTATATAAATCCAGTGTCCTCTAACAGTTATGGGATAAGAGTCCTCAGATAGAGATCTACTTATACCCACATATACATATAATTTCATACCAACACCCAGTACTAGGACTACCCATATTGTTATTTATTTTGTTATTCATGGTCCCACAGTTCTACCCTATCTCTGGATAATAATGATAATATATCAAGAACCCATCTGCATCCCTCCCCACACCCCCTTTTTTTTTCACCATTATTATCCTCCGTCTTTATTTGTTATTTGTTTTGTATGGCCATAAACTAGGGAACTGGTGTCTAGTATATCCAGTTATATGATGTTTTTAATATTGTGAAACTTGTTGTCCCACGATTACGGCATTCCATCATCGCCTCCTAGTTATATGGCAGCTATCGTCGGAGTATACTCCCAGGCCTGTAAAAGAGCTAGAGGCTCCGAGCGTGTACCCCGTGTGTCTCTGTGATCCGGTCCTCCCACATTTCCGGTGACATCACTTCCCCCGGAGCGTTTCATGCTGGTTTGGTGCAGATCTTGCTGGACCTGCTGGCAGCCCTGTGTCCATCTCCACCTCCAGGATCCCATAGGATCGCGGCTGGTGTTTTTCACGTGGGATAGAAAGGAGCAGCACATGGATTCACAGATGAGCCCTGTTTTATATTTACTCTTGTGAGTGTTTTTATCCTGTGTCATTAAATCGCTTACTAATCTACTGCACTTAGTCGGCGCCTCCTTCTTTCTTCTCCTATGGTGTAGACCTACAGTAGAACCTAAATCATGGACTGGTCAAATTATGTACAGCCTGCAACCCAGTTCTTTTTTACATTGTTGGTGTGAGGAGTTCCACATTGCTGTGACTGGAAAATCTGAACGTTCCTCGCAACAGTTTAAGAACTGCTGGGTTATGACAGCTGACATCAGTTGCAAGCATGGGTTCATTAAGACAACTGCTGATAAATGCTTTGTATTATAAAAGCAAATGACAGAAAATATGCCATTAGATAATGTTAAAGTAACTCATTTTGTTTCTATTTCTCATGTGAAATGTTCAGTTTTGAACATGTCATAAGAAATCAAGAACTATCAAACATTGTCTCATATCATTTAACAATGTAACCATCCATCAAACACAACTGTGTTAATTACAAAACAAATGTGTTCATTCTGCTCCCACTGGAAATTAAGAAAAGTTGAAATAAAAGCTTGTCACTGCACAGACTGCAATACCAAAATGTCAATGGAAACTTTTATCTGTTTAACATACTGCATGCTTAATTAGATTTCCAATCATTCAACATGGTCACAGCCAATAACAGAAATACTATAAAACTGATACAATGAAATAAATGTGTATAGTACAATGTTAAAGTGGCTCTAAAGCCAAGCCATTTTTTTTACCTGAAAGCAGCAGTCTCCATACTGCGACTCAGGGAACAGAAGCAGCCCTCTGCTTGCTTGCAGCTGGCCCTCGGGGCACTATCCTATTCATTGACAACAATGGGACATAATTCCTCCCAATGACACCATAGTGGGGAACTATTCTTCCCAATTAAAAAAATTATGGACCACAAGTCCTCCCACTAACACCAATGATGCAGCACTAGAACTCCCACTGACACCGATGATGGATCATTGCTTACTCCTACTGACAATGGGACAGATTCTATTCCCACTGGCCACAGTCCAGCCTCACTAAACTCTGAAGAACAGTAAACCAGCCCTTTGTTTAGAAAGTTTGGAGACCCTTGCCTTAAAGGATAAGTTCACCTTTACAAAAAATAAATATATAAATAAACATATTTTTTTTGTAGGTAAAAAAAAAATATGCATTTATTATTTTTTTTTATTAGGAGTCTGTAAAGCATTGCACCCTTGATCAGCAGATCATGTGTTTAATGCCTGCCCGTATTGCATACCTCCAATATGGATAGGCAGTTACGCAATGACAGGAAACTCAATGAACTACCTAGAGAGCTCAACAGTGGTCTGGTAGTTCACTGAAAAATACAAGCCGGCAGCTGCAAAGGCTGTCAGTCCTTGTAGTTTTCATTCACAAAACACTGTGAGAAATGAAAGACAAAACATTTGTGTGTGTGTTAGTATATATATATATATATATATATATATATATATATACATACACACACATACATATACTGTATATGTATATATATATATATATATATATATATATATATATATATATATATATATATACACACACACACACACACACACACACACACAGTTGTGCTCAAAAGTTTGCATACCCTGGCAGAAGTTGTGAAATTTTGGCATTGATATTGAAAATATGGCTGATCATGCCAAAAAATGCTCTTTTATTGAAGGATAATGATCATATGAAGTCACTTATTATCAAATAGTTGTTGGGCTCCTTTTTAAATCGTAATGATAACAGAAATCACCCAAATGGCCATGATCAAAAGTTTACATACCCTGGAAAGTTTGGCCTTGGTACAGACACACAAGGTGACATACACGGGTTAAAATGCCAATTAGAGGTTAATGTCCCACATCTGTGGCTTTTTAAATTGCAATTAGTGTCAGTGTATAAATAGTCAATGCATTTGTTAGCTGTTACGTGGAAGCACATACTAGGCTAGATACTGAGCCATGGGGATCAGAAAAGAACTGTCAAAAGTCCTGCGTAACAAGGTAATGGAATAAAAAGATGGAAAAGGACATAAGAAGATGTCCAAATCCTTGAATATGCCAGTCATCACTTCCACTAAGAAGTCAAAATTCAGGGACCTCTTGATGCCAAGCCAAGTACAGGTAACCAAGAAAGATTGCAGCCACAACTGCCAGAAGAATTGTTTGGGATACAAAGGGAAACCCATAGATAACCATGAGAAAAATGGTGTGGTTGTTTTGAAGGAGCACAATATGATGACACTTGAACAAAAATGAGCTGCATGGTCGAGGTGCCAGAAAGAAGCATTTACTGTATCAATGACACAAAAAGGCCTGGTTAGGCATGTCAAGGTGTTGTCAGGCATATTGTAACTGGGCTTTTTTGTGGCATTGGTGCAGTAAAAGCTTCTTTCTGAAACCTCGACCAAACAGCTCATTTTTGTTCAAGTATCACCGTATTGTACTCCTTAAAAACAACCACATCATCTTTTTCCAGAACACAGAGTGGGCACAGACCTGTCATCCGCCCACCCCGCTCACTGTGGCCCCCGACTGGTTACCAAGTCGCTTAAGTGGCTCTCGCTCTTCAAAAGGTTGGGAACCCCTAAGCTAGTATATATGAGCATATGCATGGAAACTGCAACACTGGCAGCTAAAAGGATAGAGAAAAATTGTATGCGTGTATATGCATACACATGTTTACGCACATGTACAGGATTGTTCCTTTGTGAGAAATTATTTCTACTTCACCTTTCAAAGCTTACTCACAACTATCAAACTGTTCAAACCAAATATGTCTATAATGTATTCTAGATATATATGAGTAACTGATGATATTCCAGTATTTATCAGAATAATTAGAAATCTTACCTTCATCAAGTGGCAGTGGTAAATGCTCCAGAACCCCTGGTGTCCACCAAAATGTGTAGCTAAGGGAGACAGAAAACACGTTATAAAAATTACTGTTTTTCAGCTATAACTGCATTGCTAAAAAAAATCACAGTCTTTAATAAGCACCTAGCACACAAGATCTTGATACAAACAGTGAGTACCTGCACCTTCCTTTAATTTTTGCCCTCTAAAAATGTCCTCTGATTTTGTTATGGGAGTTCCTGCGCAGAAGTTCAGGACACAATTTTTGATTTTTAAAACTTTGGTGCCGTTGTCTTTTAAAGAACATATATTAATTTATTAGATTAGATATTATCATCCATAACAGCTCCAGAGAGACACACTTTATTACAGTATGCGTGGCTTAAACTGTCAGATGCAATGTATAATGACTCCAATGATATGAAACTGGTCGACTTAACTGAATACTTAATTGCTGACTGTTGAGTAGGTTGAGAAGACCTTGATTCTAATACGTACTCTCCAGAGAAAATCCCATTCTGTGAAATGTCTGTTGTGTGTGTCTAGTAATAAATCATTTTCATCTACTAGAATTTCTATTGTTTCAAAGATCAGAAACAACAGAGTTGTATTTCACAAACTGAAAATGTAGTATTGTTAGATATGTGTATGTATAAATAAAACAATTTTCCTAGACTTGCACAAAATTATAAAATGTATTTATCCTTTTCTATAAAAAAAAAAAAAAAAAAGGATAAATATTGTTTACATTGCTCCCATCATATCAGGATTCACTATATGCTTTCACCACACTGAATAAATGTTATGGTACTGAAGACTTAGGTGAGACCTCTAGCTGAGCAGTAAACCTTATTTTTCAACAATTTTAATTGAACCCGGGGTAATCTCAAGCCAGAAGGGCTTAGTAAATAAGGTAGATAAGGTTTCTAGGAAAGAAACATGGAATTAAGGAACCATGCTTCATATTGTCATATATAGACAAAATATGACAACACTGAATACACTGCTGTGAATCAGAGTTGAACTGAACTCAGAAAGTGAGAAGTTCCTATGTTATAGAGGACATCTCAGCAGTATCCTGAAAGATTTATATTTTGTCTTGAGTTTCTCTTTAAAAAACATCACAGCACTTCCTGCTTTTTCAGGGTGCCTAGGCATTCCTGTTCTGTAGCCTCATAGCTGTATATCTTCAGTGTGAGATCTAAGGCACTGCTGCCTCTCACTGCTAGTCTCTGGAGATTTGGAGTGAGATTTTTTTGATGCCACAACTGTGTTGATCACACAAGTCTTGCAATTACCAAGATGACCACCTTCACAGACACACAATGCAGAAATAGACATGGTAAGTGAGTAATAGAAAATGATCAACTGTACGGAGACCACAGGCAAAACTGGTAACTAATCCTTCCATCTGATTGCCTTTTTTGGCAAAGCTTCCAGAATTCCACTGCTCTTTAACATTAAAGTGGATCTTTTAAAAGCTTTACAAATTTGCACAAAAAGACCCTGATCCAGAACGATATACAGCAATAGTATTTTTTCCCGGAAAAGCTTCACTGTTTATCATTAAATTTTATCAATAAAAAAAACAGGATTTTCTGTTACTTAGCCTCTCTAACTTCACCTTTTCTAACATGTTACACCCATATTAAGGGTGTAACATATAACAGGTTAGTGCTGCAGCTAATCCCCCCCCCCCCCCCCCGATGCCCACTGTGACAGCAGACCATTGTCTGCTGCCACAATTCAAAAAAAGACATGGCCATGCGGCACTCCACCCGTCTGTCTGCATTACTCATTCACAGTATTCTGTGAATGAGAAAAAACTACAACTACCGACATCTTTTGTGGCTGTCGGCTTGTGTAGTTCTCAATGAACTACCATGGCACTGTTGAGTGCTGTGGTAGTTCATTGAAGCTTCCTGTCCATGTGTAATCGACTGCTTGTACGCAGTACCAGCAAACAGCTAACAGACAAAGTTTGCATGAGCCCAGCTCAGCACCCACAATCTGCTGATCATCGGAGTAATGCTTTACAGGCTCCCAATACAAAAATAATAAATGCACCTTTTTGTACCTGCAAAAGATGTGCATTTATTTTATTTATTTATTTTTTAAAAGGTAAATTTATCCTTTAATGTAACCATCAGGGTTTTATAGTGCCACCTATAGGAGTAGGACACCACCTCACTGGCATAAAACCCCTTCTCTACTAAAGGCAAGCCAGTCAGTCACAAAGCAGTGTTAAACGTAAAACATCAATAAAAGGGTGGGTGCTGTGTCTGTAATTGAACGCAGAGAAAAAGGATTGGTGAGTAACAAAAAATCCTGTTTTCTCTTACATTCATTGATGGACACAGCATTTCTTCCAAATCTTGATCAGCAGGGACATCCCAAAGCAGTGCCACAACGAGGGGTGGGCAAACAAACCAAAGGAACAACCAGGCAAACATGCTAACACTCAGAACTACCCTAAAGGAGCCCATAAGAACCTTCAACAGCAGCCTACAAAACTTAATGGCAAAAACTAGCATCTGAGGATGCCAACACACCAACCTTTAAGAATTTTAGTACAATTTATGCACAGATGACCAAGTAACCGCTCTGCTAACCTGAGAGACAGATGCCTGATGTTGGAATGCCCAGAAGGCACTAACCACCCTGCTGGAATGCACTGCAATGGGGAAGGGAGGCTCCCGCCCCTTAATGTCACTCACCTGAACAATCCCGTGCCAAATCCAACAGTGGCTGCAGAAAAGGCTTTCATTAGACTGTCTGTGAGCACAAAGAGAAAGTCAGACTCCTGGAAGGTGGCAAGTACACAGGAACCTCAGACCACATCCAAGGAGTACAATGTCACCTTCTTAGGGTGCGAAAGTCCAAGACACAAGAAAGAAAGGACAATGTCCTCATTCAGGTGGAAATCCGACACCACCTTTGGAAGGAAAGAAGGGGACAGACAAAGAACCACCTTATCCTTGTGCAAAACCAGACCTAGAGGCTTACAGGACAAGGCTGCCAATTCCAACACCCGCTGAGCAGAAGTAATAGTGACCAGAAAGGCAACTTTCTGAGACAGAGTAAGTAATGGAATATTCTGAATGCTCTCAAAAGGGGTTTTCTAGAGAACTGATTCAAGTCCCATGGTGGCAATAGAGACTGCACGGGGGAGGCCCCACATGATAAACCCCTGGAAAAGCTTATGCATATCAAGGAGTACGTGGCCAAGGGACAACGAAGGAAAGTAAGGGCAGAGACCTGAACCTTGATGGTAAAAGCTTTTGGTCAACACTTCATTGATGAGAGGCCAACACCCGAGCAACCAAGAAGGAACAAGGATGCACCACCAAGGCCGCACACCAAACAATATAGGCTTTTCAGGTGTGGCCATATATCTTCCAGATGATGAGCATCAACATCGTGGGAATCACCTAGCTAGTCAACCCCCTGTTCGTCAGAACCTGGCTCTCAAAAGCAAAGCCAACAAAGTCAGAGACGGTAAAGCAGGGTGGAAGACTGGACCCTGGGACAAAAGGTCCTTCTCAAGAGGTAATCACCAGGAAGCATCCATGATCAGCTGTACTACATCAGCATACCACGCCTGATGAAGCCAGTCTAGATCCACTAGAATGAATGGAATCCTTAAAACTTTAATGAAAGCCCTCATCCTGTGCAACAAACAGGGAAGTAGCTTGAGAGGCATCTATGAGATGATACTAATCCCACAGTGCCACCAGCACAAGTCATCCAGGTAATGGTCACAGCAATCTTTTGTTATCTCAGCAGGGCAAGGACCAGGGCCAAAACCTTCATAAAGACCCAGGGAGTGGAGGTCAGACCAAAGGGAAGCACCACAAACTGATAAAGCACAGCCCTGGTCGCAAATCACAGAAAACACTGATGTCCCTCACAGATGGAAGTATGTGTCCTTGATGTCTATGGAAGCCAGGAAATCACCCTGATGAAGTGAGGCTACCACAGAGAAAATTAATTCAATCCTGAACTTTTGAACCCACACAAAGGAATTGAAGGTCTTCAGGTTCAGGATAAGGCAAATCTTGTCCTTCTTGGGAACAGTAAACAGACTGGAGTATAATCCCTGGGGCCACTCCAACTCTGGCACTGGGACAATCAGTCCCCTAAGAAACAGATCTTGCACTGCCCCGTAGAGGGCCTGCAGGTGCAATAATGACAGCTGAAGATTGGAGGGAAAGAATCTTTGTAACTGAAGGTGATTAGATTGCGAGACGAAGGCGACTCCCCACCCTGGAAAGAGGTAGGGGTAACCGTTTATGCTGAGGTGAGGAGGGCTTGAGGGTCTTCTGGGAACAGAAGCCCGACTCAGCCTTAGAGGCACCCAAGGATGAGGATGACAAAGGGGGGTGATTCTTGCTTGCCGTGCAGCCTAACCCTGTCTCCACCCAGTAGATGAACAGCTCCAGGAGCACCAAAAATGTGTCTATAGGGACAGAAGGACCATCCACCTCCAAAAGGGGACCCGGAGGGGAAGAGTGCTCCCAGACTCCATGGTCAGACCCAGCCAGGTGAGCATCACCACAATTGGGACCATAAAAGGACAATGGGGGTGAAGAAGACACCACCAGGCCTAACCCAGTAGAGTGGACAGTACCCCATCAGAACTCACCACCTAACTGCCAGGAGCTGTCACCACAAAAAAGCTTCCACTGGTCGCTGTATCCTTCCAGTAGGAGAGAATTTAAAAAGAGGCCTTGGAACAACCCCTGCACCAGCCTGAAATTAGAAGAGATCAAAAGATGGCCTCCACCACATGGCTACAGTAAAATGATTGCCAGACACACTCTGAGCAAGCTCCCATTCAGTAAAATGGAAATGATCCACCATAAAATGGCCTCACTGCCTACCTAAACATGGGTGCCAGGTCCCTGGCAAAATGGCCACCACCATGCGGCTACAGTACAATGGCTTCCAGACACACCCCAGCTAGCTCCCATTCAGTACAACAGAAATGGTCCACCAAAAATTGGCCACCTTGCCTCCATAAATATGGCTGCCCAGTCACTGGCAAAATGGCCAC